ACAGACGAACCACTGGACCTAGCGTAAAGCCGGTCTGCGTTGCACAACTGGGATGCTCGGAGATGACCAAAAAATAAATTCATCTTCGGACACTTACAAAAAAACACGGTTAACACACATACCATCGACATTAATTAAATGCTGCAAACAATCAAACAGGCCAAAATAACGAGGACAGACAAACCAAAATGTTTATATTGGCGAAATACCGAAACGCCACAGTATAAAACAGCGAGAATAGGCGGACCAAAATATAGATTCATCATTTCAAAGGATACGTGAACAAAACAAAACATGCCAAAAAAAATTCTAGTCAAATATCAATATTTATTTAATAACTACTGACATTTATTGGTTCAATTTATATTTGGTATACCTTTTTCATGATTCATGATTAAAATAAAACGACGACGTGTTTGCATGTGCAATGAGATCTGGTCGTTTTAGTCTGCTTTTATTTGCATTATTTTGTTCTTGTTACCCATTTAAACCTCTCGACAACTACAGTGAAAGAGTTGTCCTTATTTTAATTAATTATACTTTCAATCTAAGGTATTGGTTGAGTTAAAAAAGTTAGTGTATATCTCGCTCCTGACACTTTTTCATCTCAACATTAGATTAAATGTATAATTAATTAAAATTATTAATAGGTCAATTATGACTACTAAATAATTATGTGGATCTGTCCTTATGTTTGAAAATAAAAGGACAAAACTCACATAAGAAATAGTGACACTTTTTCATCTCAACGTTGGATTAAAAGTATAATTAATTAAAATTATTAATAGGTCAATTATGACTACTAAATACATATGTGGATTTTCCTTATGTTTAAAAATAAAAGGACGAAACTCACATAAGAAATAGTGACATTTTTTCATCTCGACGTAAGATAAAACTATAATTAATTAAAATTATTAATAGGTCAATTATGACTATATTAAATACATGTGGATTTGTCGTTATGTTTAAAAATAAAAAGACAAAACTCACATAAGAAATGGTACCACCAATAAATAAGTGAAAGCAAGAAACTGGCGGACCAAAACAGCTAGATTAGGGAGACCAAATTAATTAGAAAAAATCATACCACACTGAAATCTAGTTCCATTATAAAGCTTTGTAGTCTGTTTGTAAAGTATGTCTATCACGTTTTCCTTGCAAATTTGATTGGAATGAGTCAGTGAAGAAGACTCAGAACATAGTTTAAAATTTGTTTAATTTATACCCAGGTGCTAGAAGGAAATAATCACGTCTACACCCCTATAGCCGATTTTCTGCACGGATACGTACACAAAAGAATGTACATTACTGAGAAAAAAAAATTGAAATATAAAACCCTAAAGAGATATGATTTGATGTTATAGAGGGTGAGCAAAGAGGGGTCGGAGAGAGAATAGGGAATTTCACCCCCATCCCTCAATTAAGTCTTCCTCCCTCAAACCCCGAGATACTGAACTTGTAAAACAATTCTAAAGGAGCTTTCCCTTATATATTAAATTCTCATCTTCGCATTATTTTCATGTTTTCTTCAAAAATGGCATTTTTATAGTCCGGTACGAGTAGCTTGTGTCAAAAATCTTTGCTACACTAAAAAGTAAGTTTTTTGATAGATTTATAAAGTGATTATTTTTCTACTTTAAATTTAGTCTTGATATGTGTGTATCGAACCGTTTGATGTTTTCGAAACGAATAGTATTCAGAGTGGGAAATAATGAAAAGGGTGGAATGAAATCAACCTGCTCACCCTCTGGCTTCCAGTTAACCACGGATGGGGGATGAAGAGAGAGAGATGGAGTGATAATGAAACGAGGGGTCGATCCGTGGAAGGGGCAGCTCCGTGTATATCAACCCCCTGTCAGTTGTGTATTTGTAATTATATATCCGGCCCTTGAACCCTCTCGACGAAATCTGCTCATTTCCGCTCACGCCATTGGCTAATTGGCTTGGGCAGTACTGCTCAATTGGCCCTCAAATATGCCTAAACTGCAAAGAAAATACTCTGCTAGTAGATAATTTGCCACTTGAGGCAATTGCCAGGCTAAAAATACAAAACACTATAAGCAAGAAGAGATCAATAGTTTTAAAACCTATTTACTCAGGCAGTTTTGCCTAATTATGCGCAATACATTATTTATTATTTTTGGAAATCGTGAGATGCTGTCTGGTGTGACGTAGGTTTCAAAAAAACATTTTCTTTATCATGCCAACGTTTCGATCTTTATTGCGATCACCTTCAGGGATTTACAAACATTGTTTACATTTAATACATGTATTTGTTCACAAAAAATACTTTGAATGAGTAGAAATACTTTGATTGAATATAAAAATATTTTTTGGCATTGTATAAATTAACTTTTTTCCACATCCTACATGTATTTGTTAAATGAAAACAATGCTTGTAAATCCTAGGCCCTGAAGATGATTTCAATAAAGATCGAAACGTTGGCACGATAAAGAAAATTCTTTCTGACACCTACTTCACACCAGACCGCATCTCACGATTTCTAAACAATCATTTTCGTTTTTATTGACTACTTTTTCTTTAAATATTATCCACAATATATTAGGAATTTAAGAAATTATAAAAAATAAAATATAACTGGATTCTTATTTTTCCTATACCTTTCTTCGCAAGCTTCACTGTGTCCTTTATACTTAAAACAAAATTTTAAAAAATTATAACCAAAATGCTATTTACAAATGCTTCTTCTATGAAACTTTTGCGATTACTAATTACACTTTTTAATAATTTTTCAACTTTATTAACCAGTTTTTAACGCCTGTTTATTATGATCACAAAAAGAACCCTACCAAATCTTAGGGATTAAAACCGAAAATGGCCCATTTGCTATTCGCAGTAATAAGACCCAAAATAACCTAAGGACCAAAACTCAACAAAAAGTAGCAACTCAATCACAGGGGCAGTGAGAAAGAATGTATAAGTCAGAAGGGTGCATTGCTTGGGGAGCGCAAACCCCGCCTAATTTCTCACATAAGAAATAGTGACACTTTTTCATCTCAACGTTGGATNCATCAAATTAGCGGATTTTTTATTCTAAATTAATCCTTTAATATTAATCTTTTTTAACTACAAATTAGGGTTTTTATTCATTACAAAATTAACCCTTTTTAATTTCAAATTAACGTTTTTTAATTCCAAATTAACCCTTTTAACTTCAATTTGGAGTATTTGTTTTTTCAATTTTTTTTTGACTGGGGAGCTCGAAAACAAAACAAAAAACAGTTTATCTAAAGCACTGTGAAGTTCAATAAGCCTTAAACATAAAATTCAACAAGAAGGAATTTAAATTTAAAAAAGGAAGAATTGTAAAGGTGGTCAAAGCAGAATCTCAACAACTTTTATACATGTTGAAGTATTTTTTATTATTTTTGCCATTACAAAAAAAACCTGTTTATTAATCACGAATAATGACTCACAAACAGGAAGACCAAAATGGTCGAAAGGCAAGTCTCTTCCTACCAAAATGTTTATATTTTTTGAAGGTGGTGAAATATCGAATGGCGACAGGCAAAAACACCGAGGATTAGGCGTCCCAGGTTGCTCGGAGACGACCAAAATCTAGATTCATTATTTTAAATGACAAAGTTAACAAAATAACTTAATAAGTCGGTTAAAATTTACCATTGAACCTGGACAACAAAGCTAGGTAAAAGGAGATACTCGGAGAAGACCAAAATATAAATTCATCACTTCGTACAAAAGGACACGGTTGACAAAATAAACAACCGACAAACAATCGCAAATAAGGAAAATATAATAATACAAACATAAGTATCGTGCAAGAAGAAAGAATTTAGATTGAAAAAGGATTGGAAAGGCGGTGAAAGCAGGAACGTTGTCATCAAATAATTCTCAAGCAACTTTTAAACTTTTTAAAACAGCAACTCGGCCTTTTGTACATATCTTTATCATTACATAAACATCATTTCATCATTATCAATCACGAATAATAGCTCACAAAACTTGTGATATAAGAGAAAGGATAGAAAAATTGCTAAATTGGCTCAGGAGTTCGAAAAGGCCTTCCCGACCAAGTGAAAATAAAACAAATGAAAACACCCATAACAGAAGATAAAAATAGTAACTTTCCTCAACAAATTTGTCGAAATCTTAACAGCACAAATTTAATACGACATTACAGTTGCGTGAATATAGCATTTTACTTTAATTAATTATTCTTTTTATGTAAGGTCTTGGTTGAGATGAAAAAGCTAGTCCCGAGCGGGATTCGAACCCGTAAAAGGTTTTCATTTCAATCAAGACCTTACATAAAAAGAATAATTAATTGAAATAATCAATATGGTCGATTTGACCACTAAGCATAAATGGATAAATATAGCATGTTACATTATTTAGCATTTCAATTAATTAAGGTTTTTAGTTGAGAAAAAAAGGTCAGTGTCTCGAGCGGGATTCGAACCCACGATGTTCGGCTAGATACGCCGCTACTCTGCCATTTGAGCTATCGTGACCTCGATCCACTCGGACACCAACTCTCCATCTCAACCGCACTTTTGAATTTTCCCTCCTTTTTGCCGTTGACTTTTTTATCTCAACAAAAAACCTTAATTAATTATAATATATTAATTGGTCAAGCGGACCATGAAATNCCTCGATCCACTCGGACACTAACTTCCCATCTCAACCCCACCTTTTGAATTTTCCCTCCTTTTTGCCATTTTTCGAATCCCGCTCGTGACACTGACTTTATCTCAACTAAAAACCTTAATTAATTGAAATATATTAATTGGTCAAGTGGACCACTAAAACTAGTGAATTATTTAGCATGTTAGATTTTTTAAAAAGAATGTATGGTTGCAATGAATATTTAACTCTTCTTCAGTATGTTTCATTGCGTATAAGAAATAGAATATATTATTTCTTGCGTTTTGTATAAATTTATTGCCCGTGTTGTTTGGTGTGCACTATTATTATATGATTTATGGTATTCCATAAAAGGTTTTATTGTAGCTGATATTTTCACTCGTTTATTTCAGGATGAAACTGCGGCGGCGGACACTCGTGAGGGAGATAAATCCTCATTTAATATGCGTCCTCTGCAGCGGATATTTTATCGAAGCCACGACCATCGTCGAATGCCTGCATTCGTGTAAGTAGACCAGAATTTCTATTTATACGTAACATCGGCCCCTTTTGACTTTCGAAACTGTCTTTAGAACTGGGAAAATATTTTGTCAGTTGTCCGTTACGAGACGTCAAAATCCATCCGTGACGGTAAAAGAAAAGCATTATGTGTTTAGAGTTGTCGTGCCTCACGTCAATCCCCGTCCCGCCCGATAATCGTCGATCGGTATCCTTTAAAAACGTGTGTTTTCCAGGGTAAAAGGACGGGACGGTAATTTGAAAGGAAGCATAAAGCGGAAGCCGGTATTAATCCGGAATGACCACAAGCTCTTTCATTTATTGACGAACTTTTTACCAGAAACGGACATACATGTTTCAACGGTCTTTGACGTGGACGGACGCCTGAATAGTGCATTCGTCTCGCACCGGTTTAGCGTGCCGTACGGTCCTCGGCAAATTACTTTTTTGAATAATTGATCGACATAAATATTTATTGTCTCCGCTTCGTCTCCTCTTTGTAAATTTAAGCCTGTGAATATTTAAGACGGGCAAACAATGCCGAATTGCAAAGGGCCACTTTTGTTATGTTCCTATCATCAATGAAATTATCCTAATCTGACCAACATAATATCGATGTTGATCACCCCTAATCTGCACTTTAGTTTTTACAAAGAACACTGCATAAAAATGGTCCGTCAATCCTCGCTGTTTTAGAGTCAGGTTTGCCCTTGGTACAATCAACTGGACAAAAGCCAAGTCGACACATACCACATTATACAAATATACAAATGTTAACTTCTGACTAAACGAAACAGCAAGAATAGGCGGACCAGGAGATACGTGACCAAACTACAAGATTTCACGTCATAGACCTCAAGAAAATACCCAATTTAAATTATCTCCTGGAGAACTTCGGGCCCTTGTAATTTGGATCATGGATCATCCTGGACTGTCAATCCGCGCTGTTTTGCTCTGCCTAGGCATCTGACAGTGGTGGGTTTGTCCTTGGTGATCAACTGGACAAAAGCGTTATCGACACACACACCTTCATACTACACAAATGTATAAAACAGACATAACTTGACAAAACAACAAACCCGAATACACCGGCATCACGATGGTTGATCAGACCCAAACCGACCAAAACAGCGAGGGTAGGCTGACCAGGAGATACTAGTCCAAACTACAGTTCATAAAGTTCCAGACCTCAGCAAACTATCCAATTTCTATAAAAATCTTCTATAAAAACATAGAATAGGCGGACCTGGATGCTCGGAAACAGCCAACAGGTCTGGACACAACTGGCAGTATAACTGGCAAACTACTGAAAAAAAAAGAAACGCGTTGCTAAAATAATTGAATCTTTTTAAATAGAATAACAATTACAACAGCATTAGACCAAAAGAGCGAGAATAGAGGGACCATGATGCTCGGAAACAGCCAACAAGTCTGGAAACAACTAGCAATTTAAGAGGCAAACAAGGAGTATCTAAATGAAGAAATATTTTTCTTTTCTGAAGTGGAATAAAAATTACAAGGGAACTATACCAAAATAGCGAGTATGGGCGGACCCGGATGCGCCGAAACAGGCATCAGTTTTGGGCGTAACTGGAATAATAACAGACCAAACACTGGATTTGGCCAAACGAAGAAACACCTCTCCAAAATGATTATTCCTCTCTTCCTAACTGGAATAAAAATGACGAGCGAATTAGCCCAAAGGAACATAATAATTTACCACTTAAGATGGCGAAATGATGAAACTTAACAGACCAAAACAGCTTATATTAGGCGGACCAGATGCCTAAAACAACCTCCATCTTGCAGGATGCTCTTTTTAAGGCGATCTATTAATTTTACTAGGAACGAGGTGTGCTCCGTAGATTTTACATGTACATCTTCAACTTTCACTCTTTTACTAATCGACTATATAATCTACACTATCCGATTACTAGGACGATGACAAGAAATGACTACAATGCATGTAGTTGAACCAACTGGGAAGATAGCATGACTAGGGATGAACTAGTACAAATTTTCCCCAAAGCTGTTTATTTAATTTTTGAATTTTACTAGTCTTTATTTGTTATGCGTTTTTAATAAGGAATTACTAAAACAGTTTTAAAATATTTGTCTTAATTATATGTTATATTGGTCGTTTCACCTCTTTTTCGCTCATCAGAAATCTGTTGTTTTTTTTCTCTTTTTTGGTAATTGGATAAAAATATGAAAACTATCATTGGAAATCCAAATTGGGCTGTAATTTAGTACGTCTGTGGTGCAGTTTCGTAATTTCAAAGCGATTCCACACAAAAGGACTCTCAGAGGATGAGGTGTGTGGAAAGAGAGGGCAGATATCGACCCGAAGACATAGTCGTGCCAGGCCCTTTTTCTCTTTTCACTCGACAACCCTTGAACAAACACGTTTAAAAAGTTGTTCCAATTGAGCCGTCGTATTTACTGTTTCTATATATTTTATTCAATTGTAAAGTAGTACACGTGCTGGGACGTGATGCCGACCCACGTCACCGTCGACAGTCTTAACAGTTTTATTGTGAGATTACGATTTATAATCGCGTGACCTTGTGTAGTTACTTGTCCCTAGCCTTAAACAATCACTAAAGGTGTTGGTTGTTTTTTTTTTACCTAGGGCTGAAAATAGTTATACATGGGAACAACCCCTAGTCGAGTATAAAACAGGTCCGCCCAGTTGGGTCTCAAGCTCCCAGGGTCACGCCAGAACCAGTAAGTTTCGACTTTGGAATTAACATGTTTTTTTTCAGTTTGCAGGTCGTGCCTCGTGAAGTATTTGGAGAAGAGCAAGTTCTGCCCTATCTGCGATGTCCAACTGCATAAGAACAACCCTCTTCTTAGCGTCAGGTCGGTTAATTTCTTATCAGTGGAAGACCGTCAATACTGATTTTTGTTCTTGTCATCAGATGTGACTCAACGTTGCAACAACTCGTTTATAAACTCATACCCGGCCTGTACGGAAGGGAAATGGCAAGAAGGAGGAAATACTACTCGGAATTGGGTGGACCCAGCTCGGATCCTGACTGCGGTGAATTTCCCGTCGGGGATGCTTATTTCTCCCCCGAAGATTCCATCAGTCTTTCTTTGGAGTTCGTCAACTGCATGTAAGTCTTCCAAACCAAATAAACCAAAAATCTTTACCATAAAATAATAAAACTAAAACTTTTTTTTTATATATAGAAAAGATGAAGAGTCGAGTGGGAGTGATTCGGAAGAAGGGGCCGCCGATAAACAGGTAAATTGTTCTGCCTTTTTTTCCTTACAAACCAGACAGACACGTGCTACTTAAAACACCCACAGAGTGAACTTCCTGAAGTTGTGTTCCGTCGGAACCTTCTGATTAAGTAGAGAAAAAAATCCCCGGCACCCAGGTTCCCACGGTATTGTTCGTGCTTTTGGAATACCTTTGTAAACGTGACCAATTAAAAGCTCATAGATCATGCCGGCAAGAAACTCCTTGTAATATCCCCGCCTATTTAACAGTAGTTTATCCTAAATCTTTGTATAATTAAAATTGAATCCAAAATAAAAAAACTACATAATCATTATATTTACCCTACGAAATTTATTATATTTAACTGACTACCTTATTTTCCTCCAACCAGAAACTCTTTTAAATTTTCTCTTAAAAATTATTTAAATTGTATGTTTTAACTCTTATATTTTATCGTAGGCAATCCACCACAGAAGATATTTGCAATGTCCTGCTGCGGTGACGATGTCCCATCTGAAGAAGTTCCTTCGCATGAAATACGGCCTCAGTCACGATCACAACGTAAGATATACCAATGGTCTTTAAAAAAACAATATTAATTAATTTGTTTATGTTGTCCAGGTTGATATAATTTACGCCGGAGAAATTTTGACCGATGACTTTTCACTAATGGACGTGGCTTATACTTTCTCTTGGAATAGGGTAAGTTAAAAAGTCCTTCCCCCGACCTAAAACATATTTTTAACACATAAATTTAAAAATTTCAGGCATCACCTATGAGATTTAAATTTCGCCTACTTCAGAGAAATTCCATGGCGCAGATAGTTCCTAATAAAGACCTCGTGTCGGTCCGTGACAACGGGGTTTCTCAGGCTGCCAAGAACGAATCGGAAGGTAAGAAGGAGGCTCAGTTGTGTCCTCCGGCCACAAGCGCGCCCGTGAAGAGGCTGAGCTTTCACGAAGGTGAAAATAATAAAGTCGAGTCGTCCAAGCCGAAGAAGAACGGAACCGAAAACACCAACGGCCATCTGAAAAGGAGTTTGGTTCAGGAGAAAACGGAAAACAGGGAAAAAGAACCCGCCGACGAACCCGAAATCAAGAAGGCTAAAATAGCCGAACCTGTCGTCGACAAAGAGAAAGAAGAGAGGCTCCTGAAGAAAGAGAAAGAAAGATTGATATACGAAGAGAAAGTCAAGAAAGAAAAAGAGAAGCAAGAAGAAAAATTAAGAAAAGAAAAAGAAAAACAAGAGGAAAAAATACTAAGAAGAGAAAAAGAAAAACAAGAGGAAAAACTTCGAAAGGAGAAAGAGAAGGCCGAAGAAAAGGCCAGGAAAGAAGAAGAAAGGGCGCGCAGAGAAAAAGAAAAGGAGGAGAAAGCGTTGAGAAAAGAAAGAGAGAAGGAAAAACAGACCGCTGAAGCTGCTAAGAACAAACAGAAAGATAACCGAAACTATATACATAATAACAGGAACCGGGTTATCGAAGGAGACGACGACGATATAGTAGAAGAGGTCGAGGAAGAAGTCGAGGAAATCGAGGCTATGGAGGTAGATGAAGAAGAGGAGGAAAGACTGCAAATAACGACACCAGAAGAAGATTTGGTCGAAGAAGAACAAATCGAGGAAGAACCAATAAAAGAAGTCCGTTATGTCCAGTCGAAATCCGAAGAACGTAGGAAGGAGAAGAAAAAGAACAAAAAAGCGAAACATCATCATCACCACAGGCACCACGACAGAAAGAGGGATTCTCCGCCCGCGGCTACCATACTCCACTCATCCGAAAACGACATAATGAAGCTGAAAATTAAGTTGACGGATATTAACAAACCGAAATATAGCGTAGTTGATCCGAATGAAGACAAGAAGGAAATCAAAGAAAACGGCTACGGTCATAAGCACGACAAGCATTCGGAAAAAGTCGATCAAAAACAGAAGGAAGAAGAAGCGAAAAAAGTCGTCGACGCGGCCAATAATAATAAAATAGACGCGGTAAAAACAAAAAATGAAATTTTGGTTAAAGAAAAAATGCCACCGATCAGGCAAACGATCCGCCAGCAGAAGCCGTCTCCGAGCCCCCCATCGCCGAAAATGAGCCCACCGCCGAAGCCGGCGGCAAGCCCCAAAGTATGCGTGTCGCCCAAGTCCCAGCCGATAATGCCGAAACAGAACGGTTCCGTCAAAGCGGAACCGATCAAAATGCCTCCTTCTTCGATCACAGTGAGCAAGATAACAGCCGCTGAAAAACGCCAAATGGAACAGCAGAAGTTGCTCATGCACCGGAACAATAGCAACGGAGTGGATTCGAAACGGCCCTCTTTGGAAATCATGCTTGTGAACGCGCCGAAAAAGGCTTCCGATTGCGAGACGAAGCCCGTCGAGGTGAAGAAAGTCATCCGGCCGACGCCTCCATCGATCCCTCTCTCCCGGTTGGGCAAAAACGTCGCATTCGGTCCCAAAAGCTCTCCTCCCCCGCTCGTCCCGGCGACAAAAGCCAGTTCCCACGACGAAAGCGGAGCCCTAGACCTCTCCGGGAAATCCTCCAGGAAATCGCCCGACGTCGAATCCGCGATGCGCAACCTCGTCACCCTCTCCGACACGGCCGTTCACGTGAGGAACATGATGTCCCAGGAACCGCCGCCCACCCTCAAAATCCCCGTCCCTCCGGCCATCGGTCTCAACAGCAAAGTGCCGTCGCTCCAGATGGCCTACCAGAACCAGAGGACGATCAAGCCCGTCCCGAATCAAAGCGTGAGGCAGATTCCAAATCCATCCGCCCTCATGTTCAGACAACACAACATGAACGGCAGGACCGTCCCGCCTCCGGGTGTTCCCATCAATTCTCTAAGAAGGATAGAAAGTATGACTAAAAACATCGAAAAAGTCGCCGCTGGCCTATCCGTCAAAGCTGCCGTCGAGGCGGGCTACGCCATCAAATGATGGCAGTTAAACTCACTTTCCAAGAAGAGTGATAAATTAAATAAAAATTAGATAATAGTCTAGTCTCTATTAGAAAAAAAAATTCAGTACAAAACATTACACAATTAATTTTGCTTCTCGTTTAGTTCCATCACTAATTAAAGCGAAGACTGCCTTCATTGTAAATATCGAAATGAATTTATTGGAAAAGTATATATTGTAAAAAAACTAACATCATTTACGTAATTATAAATTTTGAAAATTATTATTGTTATCTTTGCACGTACAAGATGTAAATTTTAGTATAAAACCTTATATGTAAATTATTGTTAATTTTATTTATCTCTTTTAGAAAGTGAATATTTATTGTAAATTATAAAACGATTCAAATAATACTGTTTAGCATAGTGAGTGAATGGATTATTAGTGTGTTAGTGCATACTTTAAAAAAAAGTACTTTATTAAACAACAACCAAATTGTTAGTAGGGTATGACTTATTAATATTACTCACACAGTAATACATGTAATAAATCCTTCCTAAAAAAGGAATAGTACAGTTTTTCTTTTAATTTTTTTGTTATTGAATGTGTTAAAATTTATGCTTCCCCTTGGTTTTATGTTATTTGTCCTATTACGATTGTTCCATTGTTGTATTATAAGTTTGTTTTATCGGTCTGAGTGTTAATATATTGTCTGATTTTAATATATTGTAAAACGTATCATTTTAAAAGTCAAATGTATGGTTTATTATTTTCGGTTTTTCAAAACGGCGTAGATTTAACATTTAGGTCATTAAAATTTTTTACGTCTATGTATACAATATTTACTCTGTACGCCATATAGGGTGTATTATTTAAATAAAATGTTTATTGGCGAAAATTGTTTTATTCGGTGAAACCTTGTGTTTTGGGGAAAAAAAGGGAAACTCGTACGGTTTTCCAGCGGATCGGCGTCCAACCGGGCCGGCACTTCCTGAGGAAATGGTTTCAACCCGTGGAAAACGTCAGGTACTGAAGTTTCATACGAACAAAATAGAAAATAATAGGAAAAATATAAAAGAATCACTGATGATGACAATGATAAAAAAAAGTTGTTTGGTTTAAGTTTAGTTTAATAAGTATTCAGAAATCGTGAGATGCGGTCTGGTGTGATGTAGGTTTGAGAAAAACATTTTCTTTATCGTGCCAACGTTTCGATCTTTATTGAGATCATCTTCAGGGC